AGTGGCGTCCAGGCTAGACGCCCAGACCACCTGAGTGGCGTCCAGCCCAGACGCCCAGACCACCAGACTGGCGTCCTGGGCAGACGCCACTCCACTGGGTGAGGCGGCCCTGCCAGGCGCCAGTCCACTGGCTGTGGCAGCCCTGGCAGACGCCACCTTTAATAATTAATTTTTTTTTTCTTTTTTGATTTTGTTGTTGTTTTTTATTTAATTTTTTTGTAAAAAAAAATCGAAAATGATTTTTTAAAAAAATTCGAAATGGGTTTTTTGTAAATTAAATTTGAAAATTTGAAATAGGTTTTTTTAAAATTAAATTTGAAAATTCGAAATGGTATATTTTGAAATTTAGTTTGAAATTCGAATTGGCTTTTTATAAAAATTAAGTTTGATTTATATAATTATGTTTTTTTTTGTGTTAATTCTGTGGAAATATAGAAATTAAATGTATTATCCGTTAAATGTATTTATTGTAATATATAATTGATGCAGGAATATGGTGGAGACGGAAATGATTACAGTGGGATATTTGGACATGATGGTCCATTCGAAGAAGCTCAACATGCGATTGATTGGGAAAAACAGGTTGCAATTGCAGCTGGATTTTGCTTGGTAGTAGCAACTCATAAATCTCAACAGGATGGTAGAATGGATCGCATTTTGAGATGTGACCGTTATCGCAAAAGAGAAGAAAGAGATTTTCGTACAGCCACTCGGTTTGACACAAAGCGGAAAGGTTGTGGGTGTGAGTTCAGAGTAAAGGTTCGACAACTACGGAGTCGTGACGGTTGGGAAGTGATAGGTTACTCTAAATGGGGGTATCACAACCATGAGATGATAGTATATGAAGAGGGTCATCGACAACTGAGCGGCTTAAGTCCTGCTGCGAAACTAGTTGTGAAAATTATGAGTGATGCTCAAGTCAAGCCTGCTAAAATATTAGCATCTGTGTTAGAGAAATTTCCAGAAGACCATCCAAACCGAAGACACATCTACAACGTCAGACAGCAACTCAGGTTTGAACGGTCAGAGGGAAGGAACCCTATACAGCAGCTGCTACACCAGGCACAATCACGTGGTTACCTGTTCTGGTTTGATTCTGATGAAGATACAGCGGAGGTGACTCATCTTTTCCTTGTGCATCCTGATTGTGCTGATATGATCAAGTCTTGGCCATTTGTGATTTTGATCGACTCAACGTACAAGACAAACAAGTACAAGTTCCCTCTGGTTGAGATGGTTGGGATGGCTCCAACGAACCAGAACTTTCTGATTGGTCATGCAATCATCAGGGATGAGACGGCTCCAAGTTATTATTGGGTGTTGGAGAAGCTGAGAAACTACATCGGGCCTAATGTTCATCCAGCAGCCATCGTCAGCGACTGTGAGGGAGGTCTCTTTGCCCCCATAGCAGAGCTGTTTCCCGAATCGAACCACTTATTGTGCACATGGCACATCAACAACTGCGTGAAAGTGAAAGCCTACAACCTTTTCAGGAAGAATTTGGAAATGGCAGAGAGATTGGTGAATGGTAAGTGGCGGAAGATCCTACAGGCTACCACAGAGGAAGCGTATGAGCGAGCATTGGCTAACTTCAGGGATTCGTACCAGTGGTGTCCGGCACTGGTGGACTATGTGATGCATCAATGGGTCCCTCATAGGGAAAAGTTTGTCAAATATTGGACAAACCAGGTACTTCATTTTGGGAACACTACAACATGTAGAGTTGAGAGCGCTCATAGAGCTACCAAGGACTGGATTGATTCATCGACCGCTGCTTTGGATACACTGTTCGCTAGACTGAACAAGTCAATTGAAACTCAGAAGAACGACATCAGGAACTCTCTAGAGGACTCCAGACGACGACATGGTACGATGTATAGCCATTTTATATTTAAGATTCTCCATGGTCGTGTGTCGCACTACTACTTGGGGTTGATTCTCACTGAGCTGAACAGGGTGAGGGACTTGGCTGACGAAGTGTATACTCGGTGTGGGTGTACTATTTCAGTAACTCATGGATTACCTTGCGCATGCACCATTCATCGCGTTATTACAGAAGAAAGGGCGTCGTTACATGATATCCGGCCATTCCACGACGTACTCCCTCGACGATGCAGGTCGGACCGCCTTCATCGGGCACGCCGGGGGAGGAGGGACAACTTGGACAAATCCAAGTTGGCGAAGACATCGCTGGGGCATGTACGCTTCGACGATGTCACGATACTGAATGAGTCCCGTGTACAGGGTCCTGGGTACCCTAACACTAGGGTTCGGGCCGAAAGGCATCCAGTTCACCTGTACAATTACAACATATAAAATATAATAACATGAATATAATATGTGCAAATAATAAAATGTAGACTCTATAAATAAACGTTACCTCTAAGGGGGACAGCCTGTCCAGCAATAACCGTATCGATCGGAGGCGGTCAACGGACTTCTTCTCCGAGCGGGGACTCCACGCACAAGCACGCGGCATCCCCTCATCAATAGGAACTGGGTCACGATGTGGTCGCAATGCAGGAAAATACTCGTATATCCAAGTCTGCAATAGAGTCAGACACCCAGTGATACCTGCCGCGTCAGCCCGACTCGCAAATCCTAGTTAGCGATACAAATACGCCAACGTAGCCGATCCCCAGGAAAACTGGCCTACACTGTCGGGGTCACACGCCTCTACGATGTCGCGTGGCCTGAGCTTGTTTCCGCCGCTCTTATCCGGAAACAAGGTACATCCGAGGAGTAGAAAAACATAAGCACTCAGCTGTGCGTCGGGCGTCCTACGTGCACTCGGGTACAAACACCGCTGCAACACAGATGCGATCTTCACACCTCCGTGTTCCCAAACACCTAGCGCCTCGGTGTATAGTGCAGCCCTGTCCACCGCCAACAACTCCGCCAGCGAATCTGCCTGATCCGCATCAGCCACAGCACAAAGTCGTTTACCCTCAACACGAATCCCCAGAATGGCCTCGACGTCATGTAACATGATCGTCATCTCACCGAACGGAAGGTGAAAAGAGTTTGTATCCGGCTGCCATCGCTCAATGAAAGCCGTGATCAGCGTACTGTCAATCTTATCGTGCATGGTGGCAGGAACGTGCTTCACCCCAGTGCCCTCCAGTCGCTCGAACATCTCGCTCTCCGCCGGCCAGGCCTCAGCCCATGTACGCAAAAAACTACAAGTCTTTTCCCGGGTATGACATTTCAACAACCCCGTAACTGAAGGCCTCTCCTGGTCCTCCCAAATACGGGCAGCTATGTGTCCTAGAAAGCTAGGAATCACACTCCCGTCAACAGGCCCACCGGGCACCTCACTCCTAACAACCCAAGAATCATTACCCGCCCTCGACCGTTTCCTGCTTGCCCCAGAGACAGTGGACGCAGATGATGTGCCAGATCTACTAACAAATCTACCACCCCTACCCTTACGCACCTCCACCATATGCGTCTCGTACATGTCATCAACCCTCTGACTGAATGGACCGTAATCATCATACGGTCCACTGCCATCGTCCACATCCTCATCCTCATCTGCGCCCTCCTCCTGCTCCTCCTCCTGGTCACCCTCCTCAGCATCATCATCGTCATCGTCATCCTCATCCCGACGGTGGATCCGTTCTCTACGAACTGAGGCCGAAATACCACGGGATCTGACATGTCTATGCCCCGACCTCTCCACTGAATAACTTCTACTAAGAAGCTCTATATTCTTCCCCCCACCATGACGACCCTACACAAAATTTTAAAATATATAAACATACAAAAATTTATACGATAAATAATCATCATCGCAAATCAAATACACTAAAAACAAAGAAATAATAGTAAACAAAATATAAACGTAGAAAAAATACAACGTAATTGAAAAAATATATAAAAATAAACAACAAAATATAAAAACAATTCAAAATTATATTACAAAAAAAAAAAAAAAAAAAATTAAAAACAATTTTTTAGAAAAATTTAAAAAAAAGGGGGGGGGGCGCCCTGGCTGGACGCCCAGCCGGCGGTGGTGGCGCCAGATGCAGACGCCGCCACCAGTTGGCTGGCGTCTGGGCTGGACGCCACCGCCACGGTTGTGGCGTTTTGTCTAAGCGCCGCAACCGTGGCGGTGGCGTCCAGCCCAGGCGCCAGCCAACTGGTGGCGGCGTCTGCATCTGGCGCCACCACCGCCGGCTGGGCGTCCAGCCAGGGCGCCCCACCGCGTTCACGGCGGTTTTCCCCCTTTTTTTTTTTTTTTTTTTAAACAAAATATACCTTTCCACCTTGGGACATCCTTCCCTCCGCCGCCGCCGCCACTTCCTTGCCTTGCCGCCTCGACATTGCCGTTATTTTGAATTTTTTTTTTTTTAGAGAGGTTGAAAGAAGATGAGCAATGAGAGTGTGAGTGATGAGAGTGTGAGTGTTTTTTTTTTTTTTAAGGTCAAGGGCAATTTAGGGAAACCAAGTGAATTTTGTGGGCTTTATATAGTAATTTGTGGGCGATGTTTAACAAATCCCTTGAATTCCTATTTGGTTCTCGTGTGTACAAGAATGGAAAAATGACTTATTATCACATCATATATGCATTTCCCTCTTGAGTTAAAGTGTGACCTTGCTACCACTTCTATAAACATTGGGATGACTTTGTTGAATGTTACATGTATTGTCTTTTTTTAAATTTGCAAAACAGGCCCTTCGTGATTTTCTTGTTAATTAGATTCATGTCTCATCTAATTTTTTTTATTTTTTTATTTTTTTTATTTTTTCGGCTTGGTTAACTGATTGGAACAGGTATTTGGGCTTGATTACTGTAGTAATTGTTTGAGTGTCCTATTTGCAACTTTGTTAAGTTCGATACTTTATCCACAACTTTGGCCAACTTTAGGGCTTGTTGTTTTGAGTTTGCCAGATACCTAAAATGGCTAAATAAGAGTCGCTACAGAACCGAATAATATATTGTCTCACATGATCAACAATTCTCGACCACGCACATAATAAAAATGATAATAAAAATATGGAAAGAACCACCTGCGTATAAAATAACTAAGCCAAGCAAATTATACATTTGGCTAGAGCGTAAAAATACAGAAGAGAATTTAGATCAACTAACCAAGATGAGAAGCTTGTGAATAAGCCTTATGTCCACAAATCAAATTACAGAACTGAATAAACACACTGATATAACCATAATTTTAAAGAATTTCCCATCAGAAAAAAATTGTAGTAACTTCTATAATCTAAATTACAATATCCTGTTGGCCGCAGGAATTGCAGCCCAAAATTGGGCAATAGCAAAGACGAAAGGTTGTAAAGATTTTGTAGCATCTCAAGGTTTCTTTCTGGAATTGAGCAATATTAAATGTAAAACAAGACAAATAGAAGGGAAGCATAACAAAATGCTAACAACCATCTGCATTATGAGGATTCAGCAGAAATGACAGGAAATTTGAACTTGGCGTACCTAGTAAGGTAGTATTTGCATAAGCAGCCAATCCATTAACATCCCTATATAAACCTGCAATAAGGCATGCAAGCTAGTAAACTATGAAATTTAGGTTCTGTCAAATCTTTTTAACTTACAGATCAGTTGGCTTCTGCTACTAAGAACAGGCCTGTCTCTCATGAATCTTCATCAACAAAAGAAGACCAGTAAAAATGTCAGTCGAATCACGAGAAGTTGAGAACCTAAGATAAATTCATTAGACATGGGACTTTTTGGTATAACTGACCTAATATTGGTTCATATAACAGCATTCTAGTCATTAATACAGTCCATACACATTATAAAACACTCTACTCTACTCAGGAAAGCACTGCAATCAGTAGATATAACAATGATTTCCAGTAACTTTCAACTCTTCTTCAACAGCAAAAGGCTATTACCCTTAATCAGCAGATATTACCATGATAATCCCCTTTACATTATGTCATATAGCTCCATACCACTTACCAAAAAGCTTCTATAGTTGAATGGAGCATCAGGAAACATACCATTGCACAAGCAACTTATGTCCTTGACACGTAATCACCCAAATCCATAGCCTGCATCATGTATTGCTCTCTCTCTCTCTCTCTCTCTCTCTCTCTCTCTCTCTCTCTCCCCATAGCCTTCGTCATGTATTCTCTCTCTCTCCCTCCCTCCCTCTGAAGAGAATAATCAGGGCTGAACTACAAACAACAAGCTTTCATAAAACATCCAGTGAGCACTCCCTCAATGTGCATACATTAATTCTGTACTTTGACTGTGTAACTGTGTTAAACACTCGTAAATCCAACAGGGGTATGGAATTCCTCACCTGATAGGCTGATACCTAAATTATATTGTTCCACATTTTTACATAAAAACTATAAGAAAGGGTCTCGGAAATTCAATTTCTAAGGATCCATTCCTAGATAACCACATTCTATGACACGCCATATTATCCTAATATAGCATTATCCAGAAAAGTTCTCTCTAGAATTCTTCTTTCAGCCCTTTACTCTTCAACAGTATGTCCCAAGTTATATATCATCATGATAACAAAGACTACAACTCCAACCATCAAGGTCTACTGAGCAGGCCAAATTTACCTCATTGAACCTAGTGATCACAATCACAGCATTAAAAGAAACTTCTCAAGGAAATAGAAAGGCTTAGTAGCAAGCACAAAAAGTAAACCAGGAAAAATTGAGTAACATACAAGTCCGGAAGTTGATTTAAAAAAAAAAAGAATATAGAGAGTTAGAGACCAAACATCCATACTCTTAAGCTAGGAAAGCAAGCACAGGGTTGGTTAACTCACACTACAAGTTATAAATATTTAAGATAGCATCTCAAATGATTTCAATGTTGTACTTGCCAACTTTTGTTAGCCCAAGGCTGAAGTTGTAAACTCACCAGTGTACTAATATTACTATAACTGCACGGCCATTAGGCCTCTGATCCTACACATAGTAAAGACAATAGTACACATAAAGGAAGCATGCAGTCACCAGATCACATAGAAAAGAATGACCATAAATTATATACAGTGTAACAATAACAAGAAATCTTACATCAGTAGCAGGTACATCTTGTTTTTCTTGGAAAATCCAGAGCCTTTCAACAGCTGTGTGGTGCTGTACCAATCAAAATTCTTGCACACCTAAAAAAGAGGTGCTGACAAGGGATTTGTGGACAGAAACCTCAACTTGACATCTTTTATCTAATTATTCTCACGATGATACCCACCATTATTTCTCTAACATTAACACCCTAACAAAGAGTAAGCCACCACATATCAACACAACTACACAGGGCCTAATTGAGGACATAGTTTTGACAGACTTGGTTCAAGCAGTACTTTCATGGCATAAAGCATGGATTTGAGCAGTATAAAGAGCACAATCAAACAAGAGCAACATCTTAAGTCTCCGTAAGGGATTAGATTTGTAAACAAGAGCCACCTCCTGACTGTATAAGGAAACATATTGGTATAGGGACACCAAGCCTCTGACAATCACCGCTAGGAACTACTATTTGAAAGAATAACTTGAACCTCACCCATATACCATTGTCTGAGTAAGGAAGAGTTTTCATCCCCACCTTTTCCCACCAAAAAAAAATGGCCACTTTTAAGGCTTAAAAGGGCTACTTACATTAAGTAGTGTGACTCCTCTATGCACACAAGCTAGCAAGAAAGCTTGACTGCATGATTCTATCCTTACCCCGGGTAATTTTATCACCGTAATGCCATCATGATCATGTTTCAATAACTTATTTATACAAGAAGCTACTCTTAAGAATAAATTTGGTCACTTGTCATATCATAAATTCATAAAGGGGTTAACTTGTCAATGAATGATTTCTGCGCTAATATTAAGTCAATAAACAACATCCAAACTGGTGCTCTTATACAGTTGTATGTCAAAAGATCTATATTTACAGTTGCAGATTATCCTTGCTTATTGTGCCCCCCCCCCCCCCCCCCAATTCTCCAAAAAAAAGCACAAGACAAAAGTTAGCAAATAGAAAGATGGAAACTCAAAATTCAAAGGAACAACGTGATAAGCTAAATATAGTTTCCCCATCTTTATGCTTTCTCTATGTTCTTCCAAGATTTTTTAGCCTCCAATTTACTTTCATTATTTCATCTCCCTCTCTTCTTTTTTCCTTTTTCATTTTTTCTTTTTCAATATTTTTTTTTTTTTTTTTTTTTTTTTTTGGCAAGACTAATGTTGTGCTTTCTCTATGTTCTTCCATGTATCTTTAGCCTACATTTACTTTCATTTCTTCATCTCCCCCCTGCCCACTATTTTATTTATTTATTTTCTTCCAAGACTAGTGGACAATGGGAATGGGCTTGTACATAAACAAAACTGCATCCCAAAGGTTAGTGGAAGGAAGCTATGTTCAAATATATTTCCAAGCAAAAACCACTTCAATATATTGTGCTGCCTTATTATTGAAATTAAAACAAATACTATGTACATATGACTATTTGAGCCACTATTTCATAACTTTTCTGAATCAAAATGATATCCATGTTTGATTTAAATTCTATCATACCCAAAAAAATCATCTTTAGGCATGTCTATCAATGATTTTTAATGGTTCATAAAGGACTACAGAATACTTCCAAATTATTTACAAATTCAAGCAAAATAACAGCATCTTTATCTGTACAAGAACAAAATTAAAAAGAGTTCCTGGAACTACCATGGGAATCAATCATATAACACAGGTTGTTAGCCAGGAGAAGAAAGGAATGACAGACAGTAAACCTACCTCAAGCATAAACCTAATTACTTTATGAAAATTATAGCAAGAAAGATATAAGAATAGAGCATCTGACTGGTGCTTGCTTTTGCAAAAATGGTTGATGAAAGAGTTAATCAGCGATGAACTGAAATATAAAGAGAGAACAAGGGGTTTTTATTCCTTGTTACCGAATCTCTTTGCAATAAGAGGGCGCACATCATTGACGTCAGCCAAGGTCTCCAGGAAAGGAACTAATGACATAAGCTCGTTGTCTGATGGGTCATCAAACCAGCTCTTTATTGGAATTCCATTATTTACTTGTAACCTGAAAACCTGACAACAAAACAGAGGTAGTGTCAAAACAAAAACATTACTTGGTTACGGTCAAGCTACTTGACCAAGTTACTGGTTTCTCATTCTTCAGCATAAACCAATTTTAAATTTGCCCCAGTTTAGTCTTTCAAAAATACAAGTTGATGCCTTAACTTACTAAAGGTGAGAGGCTACTTCAAATCTAGGTCGTAAAGCTTGATAAACAGCACAGCCATTCAATACAATGGTTACCCCCCACCCACCCTTTTTTTTTCCCAAACAAAAATATAAATGAATAAAAGATAAAATAAAACTACAGTATGACTTCCAGATAAATTCCCAACATTCAGGATTTAAGCAATACAAATCTGATCTGGAATAAAAGACAAAATCAAGCAAAAACAGCAAAGATTAATGGAGAAATAAGGGGCAGGACAGCAGGATATGGTCTCACATAACAGAACTGATAGGAGAATTTGGTCCATAAAAATACCTGAGGAGAGTTATCTACAATCATAACCTTAGCAAGGTCAAGACCTAACACTGTCAAGTCTTTAGTATAGCTTCCTTCGGAGAAAATGCATGATTCCCGATAAACTCGACCAGAGATGAGCTTCCCATCAGGATCCAGTATATCCAAAAGTTGTTCTGCATATATACTTTGACTAGCAGTGAAAACAATAATTTCAAACATCTCTGCAACTTTCTTCAAGAAAGGCCGAAGTTGAGGCCTTTCTTTCACATACACAGTATGAGCTTTCATGTTGAAGAAAACTGTAAATGTAAAATCTGCATCCTCACAATGATCCAATGTACTATGGACAAGGGTTTCTGCAAAAATGGAAGTCATTGTTAACAATTTACTGAAGTGAATTTTAAAGTTTAGAAACAGTGTCATTTGAATCGAAATTACTCTAAGCAGGAGGGACGCGCTCGTTGGCACAAGAAGACATATGATTAATTCCACTGCGGCAGGGATCTGGGGAGGTCTACCTTACACTTATTAGTCATATATGTATACGTGTCAGGATTAACTACAAACATTAAAAAGTTTACATTCATTTATCTTGCAAAGCCAAAAAACGAAGTTCAGCTTAGATCCACGAGCAAACTATTTCCTTTACCAAGTCTACAGTTCATTTATTTTGCAAAGCCAGAAAACCAAATTCAGCTAAGCTCGAAAATCAAACAATTTCCGCACTCATTTCCATGATTATAGCCACTTCTAACTAATCAAAGATTTCAGAATATAACAGGAAAAATAAATTCATGTCCATGTATTATGAATTACAAGAATTTCACACATTGAAAACAAAGAAACTCACCATCTAAATCAAGAACCAAAGTAACGGGCTTTTTTTCCCGTGATTCTTTTGGCAAAATAGTTGGCCGAGTACTAGGTACAACCTCTGATAGGTCAGGCAAGTTTCTAATGAATGAATGAGGATCAAAATACTGTGCCTCGTCGGAATCATCACAAGATCTATGATCTGCTTCTTGTTCACCAGGACGAACCTGATGAATAGCTAACAAAAAGCTTGAATCATCAGAGTCCATTTTTGCTTCTTCAGATGTTCGTGAATGGAGAATTTCGCTCAATTCCGCAGAATCACTAAGTAAGGGCAAAGTCATGTGTCGTTCAGTACCATCAAAGAAGACATTAGAGTCTGCAACCTCATGTGCAGGAATTGTGAGCTTCTCAGCAATGTTATCACACATGAAACTCCCATCAAATGTTGAACCTGCAAGAATCATGTCTGAAATGTTGCAAGTTCGATAGTCAGATGAACTTCCACTATTACCATCACTTTCCTCTGCCACGCTAAATTGAAATGGATCTGAATCAATATTGACTCCTGTACAAAAGAACAGTAGACCTTGAGCATTCAACAACTATAGATTCTAGAGCAAAACATGACGAAGATCGTGCAGAGGTCACCTATCTAGATGACTAACTTCAATAACAAACTAACAAAATCTAATTCTTTGAGCCACAGACAAAAGCATAACTATGGTTGCACACAGACAAAAGCTTTTTTAAAAAAAATCCTAGCTACTCAGTTAGCCTTTATGCTTCACTGGTCATTCTCCTATCCAGTGAATGGGTTTAGCAAAAACAGTCCGATCATTGTTAGTACTATATTTTTTTAAAAAATAAAAATAAAAAATAAAAAATAAAAAATAAAAAATAAAAATAAAAATAAAAAAAGAAAACTTTTAAGTTATTTTTTTTTAAAAAAAAAAAAAAACCCTTTTCAGTGTTTTGTAAATTAGATCAGTAATTGAGTCATATTGCTACTACAACTGTCATATATAAAGAATTGATCAGATGAGTGGAAGTAAGGAGTGGAAAACAAATGGCAAAAGGGAATCACATTTCAGCAGCCAGCATCATACTAAAAAAAAAAAAAATCAGCAAAAACAGTAAGGAGTAAACTTTTACCTGCGTTATAGTAAGAATTAGGTATATCCCGAACATCGAATTGATAGAAAGTGGGCGAGAAAATTGTTCCAAAATTTGTGGAGCATGAGACTGGGGGTAATTCCTGCATTGAAAATCATATATTCATGAACATCTACAACAAGACCATATCAAAAGCAAGGACATCACATTTAAGGGAACCATGCTATTAGAATCACGTATACACAATACACTAGCATAGTAGCATATATTTAAAAAAAAAAAATTGGTTTCAAAAAACAAAGCATATATTAAAAATGATGGCCCAGATACGCTAAACGCATTAACGCACATTAGGAACAAATGAAAGTAACAAGGAGTAAAAAAAGGGTCAAACAAAGATTAACAAGGTTTAGCCTTGTAAATGTAAAATACATCACAATGTTGCTTTTTCAATCATATCGCAGTAATCTGGTTTAATAAGCATTCTGAATCACTGTTAGTACAATGGTTTCATCTAAGATATGGATATCAAACTGAAGTGTTAATCCAACAGTTCCTACATGTAGAATTATAAACCTAATGGTATGGAGATCAAATTACAAAATCTATTAACCAAAAATGATTGTCTGGACATCAATACAGAAGAGATTTATGCCAAATCTTACAAGTTGTGAAAGAGGTTAATCAAAGTTAAAAGGCATACAAGTTACACCAAGTCACCAACATCCATTGGAAGTCAAACATACAAAAAATTTCAGCCACTTTAAGAAGCTATTTTCCAAGCATTGACCCACGATTTCCAAAAGATAAGGGCAATTAGGAATTTAATCATTGCACCAGCCACCAGGGCAGAATCTACATTTTTTAAAGTACATCTATATGATTAGAGTATAATTCTACCCCACATGTATGGTAAAGTATCTCTTGCATAAATTTCCATTCAACAAGATCCACAAATTTAATCGACATCAACCACAGTTCTTTGATCTAAGCATGCTTCTCCCAGCTTAAAATTGAATTCAGCCTATAGATCATAGAAAGTAATTAATGAATCTATGCGATAGACTCAATGGGGCTGCCACCCAAGTGAAATGGGATGCAGAGAACAGCAAGGCACTATTGGACAAAACTCATCAATGAAACACTAAGAGGAAAAGCCTGCTGGTTTTATACTCTGTAGAATAGTGACAAAGTTATTTAACATTAGACCATCTCCAATGGTGAGACTCGTTGGAGTTCTTCTAGGAGAGAGAGAATATTTTTTGTAAAGGATACCAATAAGTTGGTATCTAAACTTGGATACTCAAAAAGAAAGTTGCTAAGTTTAGATACTCAAAAAAAGTGGGCCCTTATCAGTTGTATATTGGTTTATTTATCTATTTAACTTTTAACGTTTTTGTAAAAACTTAAAATTGTTTATTTAATTGGATGTAGTGGGCCATATTAGAAAATGACATTAATATACTTAAGAGTCTCACCATTGGAAAATTATACATCACATGAGTTGCTAAATTGAGAAGTGAGTTGGACATCACCACTGGGTGTGAAAAACAACTCATTTTATATTTTTATACTCAAAGTTGAGTCTCACCATTGAAGATGTCTTGTTTCTAGTGTAGCTTGCTTGATTATATAAGGAGTAGTAGTAGTAAGGCAGTAGAGGGTATGAGATTTGTAATGTGGAATGAGAGAGAATGGTAACCTCAAGTTTTTAAGAGAGGGTGATAACCTAAAGTTATCAAGAGTAATACCCTCAAGCTATTAACTTTATCATTTTGCAACTTGTTTTGCCATTATCAATCAAATTTCCAAGCTATCATCTTATAATTTCCTCTTATTCATTAAAATATACCAACCAGAAAATCAGTCTATAACAATCTACCAAGGTCACAAAGAAAGCTATACAGGTTTTCTGATATAGCAAAGCTTGGTACCACATTTTCATATTCTTATTGACATTGTTTAGCTGAATAGAGCCGAAATTGAAACAAACAAATAGAAAACCTCTACTCACAAACCAAGCTCAAATACTCCATGCCCAATTAGTGTAAGCGGCATTTATATATTTCAGCATCTATATCAATGCTAACACTTAATTCAGGGACGGATCCAGTATGGGTTCAGCTGAACCCATACTAGGAGAAAAAATCTCAAATAACTAAAAGAAAATAATTGAAACAGTTATAAGGAAATGCGTGCATAAATGATGTGATTACAAAGAAATGGATTAGTGGTCGAAAAGCTCAGCGCAAATTGCTTTGCTAAACTCTCCCCTTGGTCGTGCGTTCAAGCCATCTGCCCCAGCAATTGTACTTATTTTCCTAGTAATTTTTTTAATTTTTTTTTTTGAAATTTTCACCCTTATCTTGTTGATATCCTAAGTTACCCTGACCTCTATTTCACAAGAACTAATACTGCTTAATGTCTTAATGAACATTCTAAATTACCTTAAAAAATTTCATTTTTTGTTATTGCAAATGCATCAACTGCAAACCCAAATTATTTGGTTGTAATAGGGATTTTGGACCAAAATATTTAGATTTTATTGTATATCAAGACTTAAATATATTTAAATATTTCAAGGTTAGACAAAATTTTCCTGGATCCACCACTGACTTAATTGCACTATTTCAAGAATAGATCAGATTAGTATATTAGATTTATTATGACTTACCATTCCCTCAGTTACTGCAGAATCACTGAAAGAGGTAGCTAACTGTTTGAAGATGTCTTCACAGCTTTGCCATTCATCAGTGTTGGTAGCTCCAGTGTCTTGATTATTTGATTCACTGCTTGGAGGCACTGTACAAATAAAACATAGATGACCATGTGACCCCGAATATTTTGGAATACATTTCAAAATTAAGGGTGGTTCTAGGAGAACAGAAGCTGATAGATACGTTATCCGTCTTCCTAAAATATGAAGTAATTTCTAAAAATAGTTTTAAAGACAGATAAACAAGCCACTAAAATATAGCAAATAGATACCAATATCATATATAAGCTCGGAGTTGGATGGCAAGTTTCAACAATTGCACATATTACTATTTATCACTATTTCACTTGCCATCACAAAATCATTAGCTAGACTTCTAATGGAAGAATTGAAAACATATTGATGTATAAAAGTTCCTACTTAATCAAAAGTTTAATATTTTCAATATATTATGTAAAACTTAGAGACTAAAATGTCATTTCATATGAATGTTTATACTTCTGTAATTTATTAAATAGCAACCACAGAAACTGCACATTTTCTAGGGTAGAAGAGAGAAAGAGTGCAAAGGGCATTTGGCTGACATAATCAACAAGAGCAATTAACAATCCACATGACATAGTATTACAAGCAATACCTTCTCCTAAACAGACCTCCCATCCAGCAGACTACCCTCTTTAAGCCTCAACCACCACCAACAAGGACTCCCTACACAATTTGTACCCACCACCCACCACAAGCAGCCCAGCGCCCCAGCCTTAATTATCTCGTCCACCTAAACTGGCCTCAACCCAACAAGCCAAACCCCACCTCCCACCCCTATCATTGTTGTTAACTCAACCGAACAGCTCCCCGAAGTTAAATCGACAAAAGAAAGAAGATCAAAAGAGTCAGGGTCTGTAATTGGTTAAACATTTCCCATAATTAGCCGCATTCATCCTTCTTGTTTCACAAGTCAACAGAATTTGCAAAATAACTACCTAGATCTGCTCCCATCCTCCCTCTCTTTGTCTTCCTTTGTGGAGATCAATGTCGAAGAAAGTTAGGTCATATCAACTTAAATACACTCTCACTATGAGTCCATGACTTGTCAGAGATGTATCTCTTTCTTCAACTTGGTAATTGTCATTGGTGTACCACCAGTGAAAGGGTTGCAGAGAAAATAAGATGGAGGTCAAATTTCAAATCTCATGTTAGGGCTTAGGAGGCTACACCATCAATGGACGGGAAGGCTGAGACTGGAGAAAAGGTTAATATGCAGGGGGGAGGGTGAGAGGGAAGGATAAGGAGAGAGGGTAATTATGAGGAAAGAGGGCAATTAAATGTTCAGCTAAGGCTAATACTAGTATTTGGTCATACTGATTACAAAAAAATATCCAATTTAAAAGAAACATTGGAATTGAGGAAGTATAAAGAATTTAATACATACAAATCCTAATAAGAGGACTCTCTAGCTATAATTATAGTTGAATTCAAGTGAAAATGTAGCCAAGGAAAGGAAGCCTCTTCAAAAGAATTATGGTAATGTACATATCTTGATGCTATCATGAAAACTTTGTCCATGACCACAAATGAGAGACATAAGAAAGTCAGCAAAATTATAATAGCCAAGAGAAAACCTCTCTCCTAGTCATTGTGTAAACATATCAGAGTTTAACAACAAATAATTTATTCAGCTCAAAGGGCATAATGTGCCTTATTGTGCCACGCATCATATATGGGTCACAAGCTAAGATTTCAATGTGGAAAGCTAAAGTTCCCTACATGAGCTGCACAAATATATATTTTCTTGAGGTGTCAAACAGAGATGCCATGTCAGTTAAGTATCTCATCAAGACTATGATAGGCACACCAGTTTAAACTTTCAAACAATATAATATATAACTCCCATCCTAAAGTCATTGCTTCACTCCTTAAGGACAGAATACCAATCAACAGCAGTAACTGCTTCATCATACTTCAACTTATTCTCCTTCAAATTCCCATCTTAATAAAAGAATAACTCCTACAAACCTCAAAATTTCATTCAGTTGAATTATTTTGTGGCTTTCATCAATCATGCTGCAATGGTAAACCAGCTCTAGGGGATATGTCTTCAAACAAGAATGATATAAGGTTAAATCAAACTAAAAAAAAAGGTAATAAGTATGACACTTTCTGCCAAAGTTTACAATTATATATGGGTTGGCCTTGGAGCATTTCGATGAATTTCTTATTACTTGCTCATTAAAAAGAATATGTCTACACAATCGGACTCAAAGAACGCTTACCTTCATGGCAGCTCTGACAACAAGTGTCAGCATCATCTGCCATCTGAGAAGTCTTGACATGAGACCTTTTGGATATTGTACTTGACTTTTGACAAACACGTAGACAGTTTTTCTCTTTCACACAACACACACTTGACTTCATCTTCATCCTTAGTGATGGCATTTGCTCTATGCTTGAAAAGTTGACAATCTTTACCCAGAAACATCAAAGGGGACGATGCACCCCAGAATAGATTCAACTAGCAGCAACAAGCTGCAAAGAGACCATTAATGGAAGTATAAGCAACTAAGGATACAAGTCAATAGTAGAGAGTCTAAGTTGATAGGAGAGATAATGGAGTTCAAGGGGATGTTACAACATGTTACAGAATCTGAATAATGTAGGCAGCTCCTTTTTCTTAGTTCACTGAGCAAGCTTAAAGCTTCAAATTTGAACCAATTCAAGAGTTCAAGACAGTAACATGAGCATAAGAACTCAACCTTTTGACTTTTAAAGAGTAGCTAATCATCAACTTAAGGTTCACGAGCAAGGGAAAAGAAGCAACAAAAACTGCTAAGAAAGTTAGAAGACTACAGCTCACGGACACAGAGTAAAGACATGCAGGGTATGTAGAGAGGAGAAAGCAGAATAGACAGAGTACAGCTGTGCAGAGTGACCAAGTATGTTAAAAACAAAAAAATAGATGTCTCCCAACTTGATGCCTGCATGGAAGAACAGTTACTAATTTACGTACACCCAAATGCAGTAATCTACATGCAATGCGCTAAGCATTTGCACGGGATCATAACTTTCAGATGCTTAAAATGAGCTAGTGTTTACACCTATTTCAGCAAAGTTACTTAACTCAAACTACATTCCATAGTATATATTCATACAAATGAGTCTATGAACTACACATATACAAACTCCTCAGCTCATACTAGCCCACCAAATTCATATATCTACTAGCCCACCAAAAATCAATTTCTTGGACAGAAAAGGAAAGATGAGTAGAAGGACAACTCGAGTTACTCCAAGTAATCCTAAATCAGATTGAGAATAATAATTGAGGCAATAATACAAGCCACAAACATAAAGAAGGCACCTAAACCACACACTTTAACCCTCACACAACCAGAAAAGAACAACAAAAATATTCTTTAAAAAGCATAAGAATTCAGATCAAAAACTTAAAGTCAAGATTAAACAGTGCTCGAGTAAAAATCAAGGTAACCCAATTGCAAATTCGAAAGAAATTAAACAAGTAGCAAAATCAAACTAAACTTCTCTTTCTTAACAAACGATATAATATCCGATAGACGAAGACTAAAACCCCACCAACTTAAATTACTATCAAATTAACTAATTGAATATAAATAGATTCTTAAAAATTACTTGAAACACCAAAATCAACAAGAAAACCCAAAATTAACATCCGAACTAAACCCATAAAAAAAATAAAAAATAAAAATACAAGAATTCAATATACTTCAGCTAATTAATTCATCAAAATACTAACAAGTAACAGCATCATAAAAAAAATAAAAATTTACGAGCTAAAACAATATTTAAATTCAGCAAAAAAAATAAAGCAAAATTACAAGTCAACCAAAGAACAGAATTAAATCAAACATCAAAATTACAAAAACAGACAGTTTAACTAATGATTAAAGAAATTAATCAGGTAATAATTAAAATAAAATAATAATTTAATTGATGATTAAGTATAAATAATCAAGTAATAATTACCTGAAGGTAGAAATTGTTCTTGAGTTTCTCTCTCTAGAAAGTTTAGTTTCTCTCTCTAGAAAAAAGGAAGGAAGAGTGAGAGAAAAGGAGACTTGAAGGGATTAACTTCTTCCGAAGTCAGGTGGTGAAGGTGGGCTGACTTTGATGGACGGTCAGGATTTAATCTTTTTGGTAACTCGGAATATCCTCTAGGATTTTGACGCGTGGAATGTTTTTTACAGGTTAGTGGTTGTTTGTTGACACGTGCTGTTTCACGGAATGAGAGGATGAGAGAGAAAATTATAAAACGCGGCTGAGGTTGAGTATCACGCGCTTACTCTCGCGCGCGGTTGGTGGTTGTTGCAGGTGGTTTGGCGACTAAAATTGTACTCCCTCCATCTCATACTTAGTTTCTGTTTTCTACTCTGTATTTTGGATTTGGAGAGCCAAAATATTATTCTTGTTTTTACTTTTGGATAATAAGTAAAGACCTTTACTTTTTTAACTTTTTTCATTGTAATTTTAACATTACCCTTGAATTTTGCTCATGTCTTATACTATTTTCCACTTTTTCTCTTTAATTTTTGTCTATAATTGTACTTTTCACTTTTATTAATATATACTTCATTCACTTTTTTCTCCTATTTCTTAAATACTTTGAAAAAAACACAAACATAAACTATATTGTGGGACAGAGGTTTCTCTTATTTCGTACTCAAATTAATTCATATTTTATATTAATTCGATTGAGAAGTACTCTGTATAGTTCAAATAAAAATAGTTTTGACAAGAGCTAATAAAGTAATGTCTTATATGGTAAACAAAATTAAGTTTAAAAAACATTCAATTCATGAATAGGGGTGTAAATGAACCAAGTCAATCAATAAACTTCTCATGTTCGGACTCGAATGAAGCTTGTTCATGTACGTTTATTTAATAAATGAGCCAAGCTTGAACAAATTTTGAAGCTTGTTTAATAAATGAGTTTGAACACGAACATAGATATGCTTGTTAAGATAAGTTCATGAACAACTCGTTTATTTATGTTCATGAACTACTCGCTTATTTATGTTCATGAATTATTGATTTATTTACAATTATTAATTTAGTTATTAAATTTATAATTAAGATTCAATTATTATGTTAATTTTGAAATTTTCGAATATCAAAAGTACAAAGCTCATTTGTTGGGGTAGCTCGATTATTATTATTATTAAGTTCTTTCATGAAAGGCTCGTTAAATAAACAAGTTGTTCACGAACCGTTTGTGAACATATAGTTGTTGAGGGAAAAAACACCTCGTATACGTGGACCAATCCCATGGTGACACGTGACCCAGTTATAGGGTGACACGTGTCACCACGGGAAGATGCCACACATTCAGCACAAGAGCACCCAAGGTTTTAGGCCAATCTCGTAGCGACACGTGGCCCAGTTAGAGGGTGATGCGTGTCGTCACGAGAAGATGCCACGTGTTTAGGGCATATGTCCCCTTTTAAATCAGCACGCCAAAGTGGCCTAACAACGTCAGGGCCCAAATCCCGAGAGAAATCAATGAAAGCCGCAAAGCGACGCCCCCAAAGTAACACGTGGCATTCACTTATTGCGCAGCCAATCACGTCACGTAAATGTAGGGTATAAACCCTAGAAAGGGGCACGAGTCTCACCCCTATAAATACCCCAATCATTTATGATGGGGGTGGATTAAGACATTTTACAACAACAGAGCATTAAATAGCTCCAACTTCTCTCTACTTTCTCTCTCTAGCCTTTTCCGTTCCGATCACTAACTTGATCGTCGGAGGCGAATACTCCGTTAACTGGAATATTCGTTGTTTTGCAGGTTGGACCGTCTCGTTGCCAGGAGAGCGTGACCAGTATCCCAGGAAATCCAAAAATCACCCGAAACATTTGGCGCCATATGTGGGGATACTCGTATGTTATGGCGATAGACGGCCAGACACCTAATCCAGGCAAGGATGGACATGTAGAGGATATAATCCCTACAATCCGTACTAGCGATCCGCTGATAGCCACATTTCAAGAAGCTGATGACCCTCCTGTTACTGCAACCTCTCTTAAGGCCGCGCTTAACAAACTCAGAAAAGAGATTGAGAGCAATGGAGCCTCTACCTTTAGGCAGCCGCTGATGTGTCTATTTTATACAGTATTTTACCCCCGTCCCTTGGTCATAATTAGTAGTGTTTTGACTCTTTAGAGCCACTTTTATTACTAATTGGTGTTTTCTAGTGTTTTCGTAGATTTGGTTGACTTTTGCAGGGATTTATGCTTTTGGAGTATTTTCCCGAGATATTTTGGAGCAATTACGAACATTGGAGAAGCACGACCAGATTTTATAGCCCAGGGCCGGTTAGAGCCATCGAACCGGTGATTAAGGGCTCGATATAGGTGATACCGGGGCATTTGGACCGAGTATTCAAGACCGGAAGAGGAAACCCAGATTGGCCCGAAGAATTGGAGCCCAATCAAAGTCCAAATAGTGGCCCAAATGAGCCGCCCGGCCAAAGAGGCTGGCGCCCGGAGGCGCGCCCGGTCGGGCGGGAGAAGCTTAGGCTGGCGCCTGGTGACGCGCCCGGCCGAGCGCGAGATTAGTAGTAGGGTTAAAAAGGCGTGCTCGATCGGGCGCGTGTCGATATAGGTGATACCGGGGCATTTGGACCGAGTATTCAAGACCGGAAGAGGAAACCCAGATTGGCCCGAAGAATTGGAGCCCAATCCAAGTCCAAATAGTGGCCCAAATGAGCCGCCCGGCCAAAGAGGCTGGCGCCCGGAGGCGCGCCCGGCCGGGCATGAGATTAGTAGTAGGGTTAAAAAGGCGCGCCCGATCGAGCGGTGCCTCGCCCGATCGGGCGCGTGTTTTTATTAGTTGACGCTTAACGTCGTTTTAATTTGTTTTAGTTTAGGATTTTTGTACGGAGTATAAATACTCCTCCGTAATACGATTTTAATCTCTTTTCTCTTCTCTTTTTACTCTTTCTTTTACTCTCTTAACTATTCTCTTAGATTTCTTTTCTCTAAAAACCTTTGTTCTTAATTCTACTTTTAATTCCAGATTTACTTGGGTAACGATTTCTCTTCTCTTAATCTCAGTTATTTATTTTATTCTTTTTATCAATTCTTGCTTTATTGCTTTGGTTGGTTTAATTTCTACTATGTGTGAGTAGTTTTATTTCTAGGGTTTATGGGGATCCATAAATAATATGAAGGGGTAATTTGTTGTTAATTATCAATGCTAGATTAATTTCCTATTGATTAATTTAATGCTCTGTGACTAGATTAGGCCCGATCTTTTATGCATGAGTTTGACAATATTAATTCGAGATTCGACAGATGAGAATTATGTTTAGGTCTAGTTTCAATAGGCAGGTTAATTTATAAATGGTTATGTCGAGATTCAAAAGATGAGATTTAATACCGGTAAATTAATTGTGTGATTATAATACGTAGCGAAAGCCCTTTATAATCTGATTAATATATGCATTGATGAATGATTATTATATTCTACCCTGGAATATTATTTATTGGTGAGCCTGTTCCCTAGATCCTTTTATATATTGTTTTCTCCCTATTCTCAATCTTAGTAGTTTAATCTCTTATTCAAATATAAATATTGGTTACTTCATAATCTAGATTATTTTAATTAATTAGGAATAGAAAGATTCGTTTCTCTGTTGATTCGACCCTACTTCCCTATCTACTCTAGTTAGAGGACTTAGTAATTATTTTTTATTAGGGGATACGACTTTACCCTGTCAAAATTTGGCGTCGTTGCCAGGGAAACGGTTTTATTTTTATTTCTGATTGTTTTTGTAGTCTAGATTATTTCCTTTTTTTTTGTCTCAGAGAGCGTTAGTTCTCTGAGACAAATCTCATATTTGCTTCTAGTTTTTGTTTATTCCCAGGTGTTCCAGATCAGGTTACATCCCATTCGATCCTGAGATCGAACGTTCCTTCCATAGACAGAAAAATCTCTACAAGCAAATCCTGGCGGATTCTGGTGATAATAACAATAATCACCGCGATCCTCCGACTGGTTCTAGCGATTTAGAGGCATCTTCAGACGAAGAATCAGAGATGACGGCTCCAAAGAAGCTTAGTGATTATTCACAACCAAAGCTTACGGATTTTCCACATCTCACCCTTACTCCGGCTCTTGATGGGGTTCAATTTGAAATTAAACCTCAATTTATAACGATGATAGAGAGGAAGAAATTCAGTGGAGCCAAGGGTGAAGACCCGAATCTTCACATTGCCGACTATTGTCAATATTGCAACACTATCAGGCAAGCCGGGGTCACTCAAGACCAAATCAGGGAGATTCTCTTTCCCTTCTCTTTAACTGGAAAAGCTAAATTGTGGTTTAATGGCTTAAATAGAACTACACTTGGTATAACTGACTGGGAAACTCTTGTTTTGAATTTCTATAACAAGTATTATCCTGCAGAGAGAACAACCGTACTACGGAGTGCGATCCAGAACTTTGCCCAAGAAGCCGATGAATCTTTATATGAGGCTTGGGAGAGGTTCAAAGATTTACAAAGAGATTGCCCCCACCATAATTTAGCGCAATGGCAGTTAACCCAAGCCTTTTATAATGGCCTTGGAAATTCTTCTCGGATAATTTTAGACTCTGCAGCTAGTGGGAGATTTATGAATCTTGATGTTGAAGATGCAGGTCGGGTTATTGAAGACACGGCGATACACAATTCCCAATATGGGAACCCTAGAGGATTTGCTAACAAAGGGAAGCATAGTGTCGAATCTGTATCCTTTTTGCAAGCTCAACTAACCTCTATTTGCCAAAAATTAGATAATCTGAGCACTGCTAATGTAGCCAATGTTTCTGCGATTAATAATAATTCTAACGAGGCTTTCTGTGATAATTGCGGTATTGTAGGTCATTGGGAGCAGGATTGCAGGAGTTCCGTGGAGCAAGTTAATGCCTTCCAAGCTTATAGGCAGAATAACCCATACTCCAACACTTACAATCCTGGGTATCGGAATCATCCATACCTTTCCTACCGGAGCACTAATGTTCAAAATCCACCACCACAACAACCACAGACGCCGCAACAACAGCAGCAGAAATATTATCATCCCAATGCTAGCCAGA